CGATCTTTTTTCAACCAGCAAAGGTCATAAGAAGGGTTCCCGCCCTAAAAGTCAATCTTCAAACAACATCTTCAATAAATAAAATGACACATTTGGTAGCTTGTGGATCGAAGTGTTAATGGTAAAGATCGAAACAAGGGTTTTGACCTCCATAGAAATGTCTCGATAGTTTCTACGCCATATCTCACCAATGAAGGGGAGACCATCCAACAACCAGCATCTCTGCACCTCTAGCAACACCTCGCTCAGTCAACCCGTGCCTGTTGCGAGGGAACCAAATGAGTGTGGTGACACTAAACCCTAGAAGAGCTACAAATGATTTCATTTCCCATTTAAAAACCGAATGCAACGCTATGCATGTGTGTGTGTGTGCGCGCGCGCACGCGTCCATCTTGTTTGTCGAAGACCGAAAGAGGTTGGAAAATTACAAATTCACCATGGCTAACCTAGCTACCACCAGTTGCATCATCGACCAATAGTGTTTCTTGATTATATATTACATCTAGAAGCAAAACACGGGTGCCAGTGGGCACTTTATTTTGAATAGTTCCACAATCACATTCTAAAGTCACAAAATGTGGTAAAACAAATTTGACATGTTTTTTTGTGGGGGCAAATTTGACACGTTAATGTGGATGTATACTACACGTGCAGTGTTTGATGGTAAAATAAGTTGACATTTGAGCTACACAAAAGAGAGAAACGTGATGGATTTATTTTTTCTTTTTTTGGTTTGAGATGGACTGCGATGGATTTTTAGTGGTGGACAGTGCATGTACTATATGATCCCTCCATGGGCAAAAGGGACATATATACCCATGTGCTAGTTTCCAGCAAGCAAGTACCCGGACTATTCCGACTGGGAATTTTCACTGTGATTCCTCGTGGGCAGCTTCATTGTGTGATTAGCTGCTTTGCATGTGTAGTGAGATTTTCTATGTTGACCACGACCACCCGTAAAGTTCTCAGTACCAAGTCTTGGCAATGAGCTGTGAAACCGTACTAAACCAGATTTGTTGAAAGGTCCTTGTAAGGAATAATTTGGACCTGTGTTTTGTTCCTATTCTGTAAAAATAAATTTACTTTGCCATTCTGAAGAAGGTAGAGGTACAAGCTTTGGATAGCTGAAGTTTTGATCTATCTCCCAGCCCGGCCCATATTTTCTTTTCTTCAAGGGAATGCTCCAAGTTAAGTTTTAATGTCCCCCGCAAAAAAAAAGATTACGTTTTAATGTGGCAACAATTGCTAATATTTGTATCTATTATTAGTCCTAGCCGCCTAACCTCAAAAAGAACAATATCTAATGCAGGAAGGCCTCCTGAACACAAAATGTGTTGTTTTAAGTGGATGAATAAGCAAGGGAGGCCTCCTGAGAACCAGAAGAGTCAAGTTAGAACTATTTGTTCATCCACATAACCAACTTTTATTAAGTATAGTATACCTAATAGGACTTTACAGGTAGCAGCTAGCTATTGGTTGTTGACAAGTCCATCCAGTGCAGGCAACATGATGCTGAAACCTAACATGCATCTGCACTGGTTCAGCTTGCCTTGACATTATATGTATGTATGTATGTATGTATATATCCTTGAATTCTGCCTGGTCATCTTCTGTCTTCTTGCCTAAACTGTTTTTGGCCACAAAGTCCTCCTTCCTGATTTGTCCTAGCAGTAGTCGATCTTCTTGCTGATACATTCGAGGGATTTAGTCAATAAACCCAAACCTAATCTTTGTGAGCTCACTCATATACGACCAACCCATTAACAAGTCGTTGCTCTCGTCAACTTATAATGCATTCACACTGCAAATTATACACGTATATGCAGTGTGTTGCCTACTTTGCGTGTAAACAGTACACCTGCTCTAATGCATTGTTGTTTGGTTAGTTAGCATGAGACCAGCATGCGAGTACTTGGCATTTCACTAGCTATGTCAGCCAGGCAGTCGGTTACGCACACATTGTCTAGAACACCATGTCATTGTTTGCTCTCGTTTTTAGGGTATTAATGATGCAGAGGCCGGGGATGATTACCCTTTTCTAAAAAAATAATGTCACACCATGGTGGCACGATAATGACCGAAGACCTAAACAACA